GGAGCCAGGCGTTGGCCGTTGGGGTCCTGAGGATGTGACGGGCAGCCCCCCCGCCCCGGCACCCACAGCTGGGCCTCCGACTCTGCACAGAGCCTGGGGGTTCAGCCGTGACCTCGTCAGGCAGCGGGACGCCGGGTGCTAGGGGGTCCAGAGGTAAGGCCGCTTCTCCCACCCACAGGAGCGCATCCGCAGCCACAAGTACCGCAGCCTCAACGACCTAGAGAAGGACGTGATGCTGCTGTGCCAGAACGCGCAGACCTTCAACCTGGAGGGCTCCCTGGTGAGCAGCCCCCAGCCCCGGGTGACACGCCCATCAACCCCCCACCTGTGAATTGACTGGTTTTAAAAAAGATTCCCTCCGACTTGGACTATTTTACTCATTACAGAAGCAATGTGTGTGTATTACTGAAAAAATAGCAGAAAATAAAAACAAACTAAAAAGAGGAAGTAGACTCGGTGCCATCCATCCATGGTGACCCTGGGAACAGTCCGCGTACATCTCGGGATCTGTTTTGAATTCCCTCGGGGACTCTCTTGAGAGGAATCCTGTGCTGTGTCCCACCCTGGGATGAAATTCATGTACACACACAGCCTTATTAGCCTAGCAGTTTGCCTAAGTGTCGGGATGGGTGCCTCTCGGAAAAGAGATCTGATAGTCATATATTTGGGGGAGATGCTGGCTTCGACGAGGGGCACGCGTTTCTAATGTTACGGCAGACCCTCTCAGAGCCTTTAAAAACGCGCTCGGTGCAATTCTTCAAAGGGAGGGAGGAACGTGTGGTCATTTCCGAACGGACACAGCGGACCTTTTGTCTGGGACCACTTCATCAACCCGGTGCTCTCTGGGGCACCGGCTGGGAAAGGATTATCGAGCTGGTCCCTCTGCCAGGACTGGGGCCCAGCGGGTGCCCCGCACCTGAGCCCCGTGTGTTTCCGCCCAGATCTACGAAGACTCCATCGTCCTCCAGTCGGTCTTCACCAGCGTGCGGCAGAAAATCGAGAAGGAGGAAGACAGTGAAGGGGAGGAGAGTGAGGAGGAAGAGGAGGGCGAGGAGGAAGGCTCGGAGTCCGAGTGTGAGTCTGGGCCGGGGTGGGGGAGGGGCGCGTTGGGGCGGGGCCGCAGCCCATCCCCGGGGTGGGGTCACATCCACCTGAGGGCCCCCGAAGCCCGCGCGGCTCCCAGACGCCCCTGGCTCCGAGGCGCCATGCTCCCCCGAGCTCACATCTTCTTGCCTCCCGGTGCCCACCCCAGCTCGCTCGGTCAAAGTGAAGATCAAGCTGGGCCGGAAGGAGAAGGCCCAGGACCGGCTCAAGGGCGGCCGGCGGCGGCCGAGCCGTGGCTCCAGGGCCAAGCCGGTGGTGAGCGACGACGACAGCGAGGAGGAGCAGGACGAGGTAAAGCCCGCGGGGCCCGGGCAGGCGAGTCGCTGCATGCCCGCCCCGTGCCGGGTGCTGGAGCCTGGTCCAAGGCCAACAGCCCCGCTCCCCAGATGCGGAGACCGAGGCTCAGCCTTCTATGGCCTGGGACTCAAGTCCAAGTCCACGCGGCCCTACAAGCAGTGCTCTTGGAGCTGGTGGGCTCCAGGCGGGGCATCCCAGCCTGTTCCTGCTGCAGCAGCCTGCAGAGCTGCCAACCCAGGGCACCAGGGCTGCCGAGCTCGGGCCGGCAGTGTTGGGGCGGGAGGCGGTGAGATCGGAGGTGCCGCCAGCGGGTCCCCACGCCCACAGCACAGGGCCCTCCAGCCGCCAGGACTGCCGTGGTGTCCTCACTGCACGGGGCACACGCCCCGCACCCCAGGTCTCTGCTTGTGGCTCTGTTCCGGCCTGTCTAGACGGATTTCTAAACAATGGTAGTGGGTTAAGAAAAAGCAAGCAAACAACAAAAGGTCCCGTAATCCACAGTCATAAAAACACCGTGCAGCAGACCCCGTGAACGGGGCTGTGCGCGGTGCCTCGGTGATGGTCCCCCTGGCACAGGCTGCAGTCCCCCGCACACCAGGGAAGAGCCACAGGAGCATCGAGCCTGGATACTTTCATGGGCGTGGGGGCACGAACAGACCCACTGGCTGGGTTTAAATAAGCTTTGCCCTGTGGCTCTAGCCCGGATGCCGGGCCCTTCCCTGCTGTAGGGCCTGGGCACTTCACTTCACTTCTGAGCCTGCCTCCACTTCTACAAAGCACAGAGGTCAAGTCGATTACACGGGGCCTGGCTCCCGGAATCCCGGAACAGCCTGACAAGCACCATTTTGTTGTTTATTTGGTTGCGCCAGGTCTTAGTTGGAGCACACAGCCTCCTTAGTTGTGACATGCGAACTCTTGGTTGCAGCATGCATGTGGGATCTAGTTCCCCGACCAGGGATGGAACCCGGGCCCCCCCCCCCCCCCCCCCCCCCCCCCC